AGAGACCCTGTCTTACAAAACAAAACAAAAGAAAACAACAAACAAAAATAGGGCTAATAAATCATAACAAAACTGTCTGAATCCATGATTCCTTATTCATAAAGTGGGTTGACTATGTCCAACTTGCAGAGTTACGGCGAACATAGAACGGGATAACTCCTGTGCAGTACCTCATTGCCTGGCTCATGGTGGGCACCGGCTGGATTTGGGCCGCTACACCAAAAACACCATGAACCGGCAGTTTATAAACAACAGGAATTTATTTCTCATAGTTCTGAAGGCTGGGAGGAGCAAGACTGAAGTGTGAGCAGATTCAGTGTCTGGCAGGGCCCTCTTCCCCGCTTCTCCCGTGGTGGAGCGGGCGAGGCAGCCCTGCGGAGTCCCGTTTGCAAAGGCATCCATCTCACTTATGAGGCCTTTACCCTTGTGACATGGTCACCTCCCATAGCTCCCACTGCCAGAGACTATTACACTAGGATTAGGTTTCAGCATATGAATTCTGGGGGGACATCAACATTTAGCCTAGAGCAGGCATGTAACAGGTGGGGGTATTATTTTTATTATTAGCATAAGCATCTTTTGTCTTTGTGACTTTGGTGAGGAGGATTGTTCCGGTCATTCTATTCATTATGCAAGAGGAAACTGCTGACCCAAAAATGCAGAAAATATGTGTAAATGATAGAGACAGGCTTTCAAGATACTAGAAGGTGGTCATAAAAATGGCAAGTGTCAGAGAAAGCGGTGGAAGAAAGCTCACAAAGGAAAAGACAGCTCTAATTAAAAATACGTAAATTCCTATACTCAAAAATTATACAATTTAGGGGCTGGGGATTTAGCTCAGTGGCACAGCGCCTGCCTGGCAAGCGCAAGGTCATGAGTTCGATTCCCGGTACCAGAAAACAAACAAACCAACAAAAAAATTATACAATTTAAAAGCAAACGTTAAGAAATTCAAATACGCTCATCGAATGTCTTCCCTGTAAAGAACTGACACACATCAGTCAGAGAAACTGAGCCAGCTTGTGCAGCTGCAGTGATAATGTTTATAAAAGCCCTTAAACTGAGAGGCTGAAGAGTCACTCACAGGCTGTGGGTCAGCTGGCGTTAGTGGATGTAGCCGGGCTTCGCCGGGCTTTGCTCCAGACTGTAGGCTGAGCTCAGGTCAGCTTGATGTGTCTCCATTTGGAGACCAGTCTGGGGGGGCAGCAGCTATGCAGGAATATGGTTATTTGTAACTTTTTGATGCGGTATAGACAGTACGACACAGTCCTGATGTCATTGTTGGCGTAATGTGCTAGTTAAAGCAGACATCTAAGGACACCTGGAGAAAGAACCCACAGGAAGTTCCTAGACGTGGGTGATTTTACAGCAGAAGGTGAACAGTAGCATTTTTAGTTTGGAGGTTCAGCTGTGGAGATGCATCTGTGGGGTTCAGTAAAGCCTTTTGACACCAACACACTTGGCAAGGCTAATTAGCAAGGGAAAGGAAAAACGGTGAAAATAAAATAAGGGAGGGAAATGAGAAGAGGCAAATCTAACAGAACGGGGGGAGGACAGCCGCTAAGAAGTGCTTCCCAAAGTGAAAGGCAGATGCTAGGAGACGATGGGGAGACTTCGTGGAGCGGGGGATGGAATCTGGGGTTCGGGGAGGCCAGGAGGGAAGGGCGGGGAGGGGAGGTAAAAAGTATTAAGGTGCCATATGTATATGGTTGCAGTCGGGGTTTACAAGGGAAAAAACTTAATACAGGACACATAATTTATAGGGTTATTTTATAACATCCACCCAAAGAGTCAAACACAGAAGAGTGCAAATGACCCATCCATGCACTAGAGACCCAAAGAACCCAGCTGAGGGCCTGGATCCCATGGCAATGTCCTGCACGAGTCCAGCTGAAGACCTAGAGCCCACGACAATGTCTCCTGCATCTGC